GAGTTACTGAGACCCACATAGCTAGATGTGCATGAGCTTGCATGTCAACAGATGGGAAAAGCTGAGTGTTACAAGATGGTAAAAAACATGATTTCAAACAAGAAGACTGGATGTGTCTCTGGTATATGTAAGCAGTAAATTTCTCATATATGACTCAAATGGACCTTTTATTCTGCTTCAGTTTCTCAAACTACAAACTTTAGTTGACTCATAGCATGAGAAAGTGCATAGAACATGTTAATAAGTTAAAATCATGCTTTGCTGATGAGTTTCTGAAGTACTGAATTAACTGGAAAGTAGAGAGTGAATGAATCAATACTTCAGACAACACTACTCCAAACTATAAGAGGAAGAATGAGGGTGACGCTGAACCTTCCATAGTTGTTCACAATTACCCAAAAGAAGAGGAGTTAATACATGAGTAAGTGACTTGCTCAGGTGCATGTGGTGACATCGACCTCCAAATAATTGTGGCTGGGAATTTTCAGCAGTTATGGTGATTGTAAAACGAAAATCAACTGTATCCTTTGCTTTCCAAACTAGCTAGTAAAGTGATACAGTATTTCTGTGGCGCAAGGCAATTAAGAATGAAATGTTTCTGCAGTTGAAATAGTTAATAGTAATAACTAGAGAGTCTGGAATGTTTGTAGCTGGCACACTGTTGGCAATGGCTAGGATTCCTAGAACATTATTAATGCTGTTTAAAATATTATATAGTATATAACCTAAGCATGAGTTTAATAATTTAGGAATATTATCAAACATAGGTTTAAATATTTTCTTAGGAAACTGTAAAACAGATGGCATCAGTTTGGTACTCTATGTTACCTTCTTGTCAAGTATGCATATGCAAAAGAAATAAAACAGACGGTCATATAAACATAATAATTTTATTGTGTTGGTATTTACAACCTCTTTGTTTCTTCTCCTTTTTTTTTAATTTATCTCCAATATGCACCAATTCCTACACTGAAGCGATTCAGTCTTCAAACATCAGTGGCTCACTCCCAGATAGATCTAACTGTTCCTCTGGTTATTGAGGTTTATTTCTTACCTCCTTACTTAAAAATACTACAATTGTTATAAATTGTTTTTGTATAATGTAGTTTTTAGATGATGTGAATCTGAGGATATTTTATGTAGTACACAGTTTTTATTTGTATGTAGTTATTTACTATTTAAGCGCAATGCTACACAAAGGGCTATCTGTGCTCTGCCCACCACGGGTATCAAAACCTGGTAACTAACGGTATAAGCCCGCAGATATGCCACTGGGGGGGGGCCTTCAACCAGTGATACTGATGACGAAAACGACCGAGTTTCTTCACCAGCTTGAACTTTATCTATCCACTTTATTTTAAAATGATTGTTTCTGTTACTCATACATGTCGACTGATCCTAGTTTTTCTCCATTTCAGATTCTTCCGGCACGGCCTATTAATTCGACGCTCTGAAAGTGGATTTTCTCGGGGTACTCTCGTTTCTCCCAAAGCACAATTAGTCTGAGCATAGGATTTATAGATCCTCGCCCTGGAAAGGCTGTTTCTTTCTGTATAGATATACATAATTATTTATAATCATAAATCCCTCTAAGCCTCAATTCGTTTTCAGTTTTATGCCTATTTTGGCTATAACTATTCTATTGTCTACATTCTAAGTATATTTCTAGAACTTTTAGGCCTACTTGGAAATGATTCCTGACGTCACAGCCTTGGTTACCTCCTAACACCAACTTCAAGAAGCACGAGTTTTCTCCGGGTTTCCTCACCTATCCCTCGCAACTAAAATTAATACCCCGCTGGTAAATAATAATCTCTTCAATATCTATCCAAAACTTATGATCTTCCATGTCTAGCCTTTCTCTTTTACCACATGTAGGACGAAGAGAAGTATAATATTTCTGAAGTTTCCCGGTTTGTCTCCTGAAGTTTTTAGTGAACTCCTGGTGAATTTAAATACCTGCTACGATTGTATTGAATGCATTTCCAGCATCAGTGTGATGAACGTACTCATGGCTCCAAGGACAGAAATACCACATGACAAAAACGTAGAAATCAATCGTTTGGCTGGTGGAAGCTGTTCTATATGATATATTGAGGTTAAGTTTTATGTTTTTGTAAAAGCTGTATACAATACTCTGAAGAGGGTATGTGAAACTGACACTTTTAATAATAGAAGTGATTGTTCAAAAAGTCCAAGTTTTCTAGGATGATGTTAACTAACTCGGGATATGTTCTTTACTTGATACACACCAATCCATTAGATATGTTACCAATGATCTAGTCGTAAGTACAGGTGTGAATGTGTTACCCCCAGAACAGTGGGATACATATTAGTGCAATCTGACCTCAATGGAAAAACAACTGCTTAAGCGAGATAACCAAAAGGCTGAAACGAACATCATGCTTAAAAAATTGGTGCGAATGAGAAAGGTGTTGTTTGCAGAAGAATCAAAATTGATTGGTAATAATCAACAGTAGGTTGTTCAAAGGCATAGGAGAATAGTATCACGGTCAATGTATAACAACCACAGTAAACCATGCTGGGAGACCAATGCAAGTGTGGGCTGCAAGTCTTGATATGAATATTATTCAAGATATATTGGCTTATTCGGAAACTGGGGTCAAATGTCATCCCCAAAACCTTTTACTGCATCTTGGGGAGTAATAAAGGACATTTGGAACAATATTTTATAATCATACACTGAGAAACTTCTGGTAACACAAAATCAAATGTACTGCTCTGTTTAAATCTAGTACAAAATACTAGTGTATGGCACAACTGATTCACTTTTCTTTTGTATTTTCTTAAATAATGTATTATATTACTGGTTTGTTTTGAATTTCGTGCAAAGCTACACGAGGGTTATCTGCAATAGCCGTTCCTAATTTAGCAGTGAAAGACTAGAGGGAAGGCAGCTATCACCACCCACCGCCAAATCTTTTACCAGCGAATAGTGGGATTGACTGTCGCATTATAACGCCCCCACGAGCATGTTTGGTGGGACGGGGATTCGAACCTGCGACCCTCAAAATACGAGTCAAGCGTCCTAACCACCTGGCCATTATATTAGTGAGACTAGTTAGTTGCAATCACTGAGTATTCACGATTCTTGCATATTGTTACGACAGCGGGGGTCACGTGACGCTGGTAACACGTCATATTCTCGAAGGTTCCTGAATGC